AAAGGTTAAAAAAAAATAAGGTAATGGCAACCAATAGAGAGCACGAGTAGGAAAACTAATTTCGGATGAAACAGACTTTAAGGCTAAGATCAGCCTAAGATACAAGGGAAAACACTATAGACTGGTTAAAGGGTCAATTGATCAGAAGACATAGCCATAATAATTATGCACACAATTAAAGCAGCTTAAAATCTACAAATCAAATTCTTACAGAATATAAAGAGTAACAGACAACTCTACAATATTCAGAGGCTATACCACTTTCAAGAAGTACAGACAACTACAAAAAAATTAAATAAAAACACAGAAGTAAACTACCCAATCAACTAAATAGAAAAACCAGGCAAATACATAACTAAAAATGAAAATTATAGATGGATATCCCTCATGAATATAAACAAAAAAGTTCTCAAATCCTAGCCAAAAATATCCATCAATATATCAAAAAATATTACATGATGACTAAGCAAGGATGGCTCAGCATTAGAAAAACAATCAATGTAAACCACCATATAAATAAAATAAAAACCACATGTTCACATTGATCGAATAAGAAAAAGCCTTTGACAATATCCAACTCCTAATCCTGACCTTCAAAAGAGAGCAATGGAAAAACAACAAAACAGAAATTCTTCAATGGGAATTGGGGGCAAGCAGAGTGGAAACCCAAAGTCTATCAGTAGTCAATAGGACATCCCCTGTGAGAAGAGCCACAAGGAAGAAAAGAGTCAGTCAGGGTGCAGTATAGCACCGATGAAACACACAACCTTCCTCTAGTTCTATATTGCTTCCTTCTCCGCCCACTACCAGGACCCCAATTCCACCTTACAAATCTGGCTAGACCAGAACATGTATACGGGTGTAGATAAGAGCTCATAACACAGGGACTCCAGAACAGATAAACCCCTCAGGACCAATAAGGGGAGCAGTGATACTAGGAGGTTAAGGGAAGTTGGGGGGGGGCGGAGTAAGGGGGGACAAATCATAATAATCAACGTATGTATGGCCCCCATCCCAGGGGGACAGCAGAAAAGTGGGTGAAATGAGACAGCAGTCGGTGTTAGACATGGAAAAAAAAAAAGAATTTATAAATTATCAAGGAGACATGGGGGAGGAAGGGAGGGTAGAGGAGGGAAGGGGAAAATGAGCTGATGCCAGGGGCTCAAGTAGAAAGAAAATGTTTTGAAAAAGATGACACCTCCCCCCAACTACCAGGACCCCAATTCTGCCTTGCAGACCTGGTTAGACCAGAGGATGCACAGCGGTACAGATGGGAATTGGAAACGCAGGGAATCTAGGACAGATGAACCCCTCAGGACAGGGGTGACAGTGGCGATACCAGGAGGGAGGGGGGGTGTAGAAAGGGGGAATTGATCACAGGGATCTACATATAACCTCCTCTCTGGGGGATGGGCAGCAGAGGGGTGGGTGAAGGGAGACACCAGGCAGTGTAAGATAAGATATAATAATAATTTATAAATTATTAAGGGTTCATGGGGGGGGGAAGGGAAGGGAAAAAAGGAAAATGAGCTGATTCTGGGAACCCAAGAGGAAAGTGAATTTTGGGAATGATGAGGGCAACAAATGTATAGGTGTGCTTTACACAATTGATCTATGTATTGTGATGAATTATATGAGTCCCAATAAAATGATTAAATTAAAAAAAAAAGATGAATTACACACACAGAAAAAGAAAAAGATGACAACATATGTACAGATGTGTTTGACACAATGGATATATGGATTGTGATAAGAACTGTAAGAACACCCAATAAAATAAATAAAATAAAATGATTTCTAAAATAGCAAAATTAAATTTATCTACCTATATAATTTTAATTTTTCATCATCTGAAAAAAATGTTAAAATGCTACACACTACTCCTTACCTATTGATGCACTTAAATTCTAAATATCAGAACATTATAAAAATGTTGGTTTCATTTGAATGTGGAGATCACATCATATCACAAAATGGAGCGTGACTACATCATTATGTAAATGCCAAATTACGTTATTACATAATTTTAAACTGAGAATTATGGTACAGGTAGTTTGAAATATAACTTTAACCACATGCACATACAAAAAGAGAATTAAGGACATAAATAAAAAAACAATGGCCATCGCTTCTTGGCCTTTTGGCTAAAATCAAGTGTAGTGAAATCCAATGGCCAGCCTTAATTTCAAAGGAGAGAAACAAAAAGCATTCCCCTTAGCATTAGGAACCAGAGCATGGCCTGTGTCACTACTTCTATTCAATATTGTCATGGAAGTCTTAGCCAGAGTTATAAAGGAAGAAAGATATACTAAAGGCATCGAAATTGATAAAGAAGTAAAAGTCTCTCTATAGGCAGATGTAGGATGGGCCAGTATTCTCAAGGGCTTGGCAGTTAAGACCTAGTAATCTCCCAAGATGTGACCTAACACCATGTAATCATATCCATAATAGAATCTGCTTGGAGATCTATTTAAAATGTTGAAAAGCAAGGATGTTACTTTGTGAACTAAGGTGTGCTTGACCCAAGTCAGGGTATTTTTAATTACCTCATATGCATGTGAAAGTTGAACATTGAATAAGAAAAACCAGAGAAGAATTTTTGTATTTGAATTAAGGTGCTGGTGAAGAATACTGAAAGTACCATGGATTGCCAAGAGAACACACAGTTCTGTCTTGGAAGAGGTACAGCAAGAATGCTCCTTAGAAGCATGGATGGTGAGACTTTGTCTCACATACTTCAGACGTGCTTTCAGGAGAGACCAGTCCTTGGAAAAGGACATCATGGTTGGCTAAGTGTAGGAACATTGGAGAAGAGGGAGGTCCTTGACAAAATGGATAGACATAGTGGCAAAAATGATGGGCTCCAACATTAGCACAGTTGTGAGGATGGTACAGTGCCAAATGGTGTTTCATTCAGTTGTACAAAGGGTTGCTGAGTGGGCACTGACTCGATGGGACATCACAACACGGGCAGTAAAGGAGCCTAAGGAGTCAGTGGGTTATATGTAGAGCTGCTAACCACAAGGACAGCAGTTTGACTCCTAAGTCTCTCTGTAGTAGAAAGATGAGGCTTTTGCATCCATAAAGAGCCAGAGTCTTGTAAACCCAAATGGGCAGTTTTACTAGTTATTATCTGGCTTTACTAGTATTATCAGAATTGACATGATGGCAGTGAAAAGAAAAAAAAAAGAACTTTTTTACTTGCAAGATGAGTGTGA